AACCAAAATGAGGGAAAAATTTTATCGCCAAAAACAGAATTCAGGAGGCAAAAACAAATAAAAAATTGAAAGGCCCATGAACAGTACCTCGCTTGTCCTAGTGAGGTACTGTAGCTCACCACCATTCTAGCGATGCTTGAGCGAGTTTGCTGGAGCAATCTTTTACCCTTCCAAGCTCACCTCTATGGCTAAAAAGAAAGAATAGCTATACTACTGGAGATGCTCTTACTTGTATGTAATTCCCTTTTATCTTATCCTTTAAACTTCAACGTGCCACTGCCACCACTCACCACATAGACTCTCTGAATGCTTGTCCGTACGAACACTGACCCTCAACTAGCAAGATTTTCTAAAATTTATTAATAAAACCTCCATTTCAAAATTACAAAATTACATTAGATACTTTTAAAATTTTATTTTTATTAATAATTTATTATTTATATAAATAAAAAGATTACGTAGTTATTTTTTACACTGAAATATATATATATATATATATAGGCTTATTTTTCTTACGAAGGAAAATATCATAAATGCGAGCTGCTAGCAAGGATTAAAAAATCCTTATAAATTAAATTCAAGTCAATTATCAAACGATTGTGTTGATCGTTCTTTTACCTCAATGAAGAGGATTTCAAAATTACCTAGTGTAAAGAAAAGAAAAATTAAAAGAAGAAGGAGGGAGAATGAGAAAGATGATTGAATGAATAATTGGGGTGATTGAGTGAACAATCAAACTAACCATTAATTTACTTCTACTCCTATGCTTCGAAAAAGAAGTGCATAAAATAAAGTGTAGAAAATTTACCTCTACTCCTATGCTTCAAAAATGAAATGCAAAAAATAAAGTGCATGAAATACAAATGACAAGAAAAATAGAAATAAATTGTCTTTGATTTGAATTCTGGATCTTTTTACAATGTAGCCATGAATGACTATTTATAGACAAACATTTGTAGGAAAAAAACTACTTAATAACTACCATATTCTTCCATCTCCCATACTTCACACTCCATGATTTTTCACTTCATCTCCATGTCTCCATAACTTCCTTTAATCTCAAATTCATACTCCATATTCTCTACTTTGTCCTTTATCATCTTTCTACATGTGTTTAATACTTTATAACTTCTTATAACATTCAAATGAGTAGGAGAGCATCACATGTCCTGCAATTATATAAACAACAATGATTGAGACCTCCTTTTTTTGAGACCCCCATAACCCCCTTTGGATTTCAACCATTGATGGTGTGGGCCCATACATACATGAGTGGGTCCCACATATACATCAATGGTTGAGATCCAAAGGGGGTTGTGGAGGTCCCCAAAAAAAGGGGGTCCCAAGCATTTTTCTTATACAAATAATAACTAATAAAAATTATTAATTTATGGTGCCAACATTACCCTCCGCAACTCTTTCAGAATAAGGAACCTCGAATTCATGAAGAGTTGTACACCAATTTAGACCACATTTGACAATTAATTAATGTATGCAAAGGGAGACATGCATTCGAAGGTTATTTTATCATACAACATGATTCAGTTTTGTTAAAAAAAGAACCAAAACTTTGCTCCGAAGGTGTTTACAACATATTTTAGAAACTTTAAAAGCTTCGAATACATAATAGCTACCTGCTTGGAGAGTTTATAAAGCTTCAAACATTATTAAAATAATTTCACATGCTTTGAATTTTAATGTGTGTTTCAAAATTGGATTACTTTGCATGTGTTTGAAATGGTGAATTCTTAGCAAAATGTCACCAATTTGATTTAGTCACAATGCATGCCAATGCTATTTTCTTTGAGCTATTAGTAACAATTGGCCTTTCTATGCTTTAATTCGAGACTTTTGATGTATCATGAGACTATGGAAATTTCAAGACCATCGAAGCATGATTCTTTAGACCTTAACAATATATATTTACTTCCGATTGCATTACTTCAAATTGCTTTGAAATGACAAACAACATACACACTCTTCAAATTACACTGTTTTAAAGCGTTTTGTAGAGTTTTGCATTACCTTCTAACCAAATATATGGACTTTCGAAGTGCCTTTGAGAGAGCTTCGAGCCACATTTGAACTAAATATATGAAATTTTGAAGTATTTTCGAGTTTCGAATTACCTTTGAACCAAATATATGGACCTTCAAATTGCTTTGACATAGTTCCAATATTATGCTCGACTTCAAGATTATAGCATACCCGAAACTTCTCTTGCTTTTTGGTATACTTTAAAATCGGTAAATAACCAACCCTTGAAACACTTCTCTAGGCTTCAAAGGCGAGTAACCAACCGACAAGACAATTATCGAAATTTGAACGGCGAGTAGCCAACCTTCAAAATATTTCCTAAAAGCTTCGAAGGCGAGTAACCAACTTTCGTGACAATTCTTGAAGCTTCAAAGGCGAGTAGTCAATTTTCAAAACAATTCCTAAAGCTTCGAAGGTGAGTAACCAACTTTTGAAACAATTCTCGAAGCTTCGAATGCGAGTAGCTAACTTTCAAAACAATCCCTTAAGCTTCGAAGGCGTACAATCACATCTAACCATCGATTGTTTGAAACCCAAAATTGTTATTAATGCAACAGACAGTCCTTTGAAGCTTTCGAAATCTCAACAAAAAAGATTTTCGAAGCATATGTTTTGATTCATATCAAATAATAATAATAATAATAATTGATAGAACTACTTTGAAGATATCCTGGAACCATCTCCAATATATGCAAGGACCAAACTTTATTCTTACCTTAAAGGAAATCAACCAATGTCTCCCAAATTCAAAACAAATTTAAGAAGGGATTCATAGATGAAATCCAAAATTAAACCACTCCACAAGTTAATTATGGTGTTGTGTAGTTGTTCATAAAGCTTGAAAATTTATGAAATTAAAATAAAATAAAATAAACTAAAGTTAAATTGTTATTACTTTGAATAAATTGGCCATTCTTAGCCAAGTTCAACATTTCAAACGGTTAAGTTGTTCTTTAGTGCATCAAACTTATCAAAACAATGTTTAAAGATGATTGTTTTATTAGCCATTTTATCAAAATAAAATTTTGATATGAACCACAAATCCAAAAAGGATTTTGAACACAAAGAACCATAGTACAAGATGACCTTAAAAATTCAAACAACTTGACATTTTGAATAATTTCAAAAAATTCAAATTCATGAACATTAAATTGTTCATCATTCTTAGCCATGTTTGGTTTGAGAACATGTTCTTCGGCCAAATAACTTTCATCATTCATTGACAAATGAGGTTGTTTTTCTATTTTATCCATTAATAGATTATGAAAATCCTCTATGTGAGTTTCATCATTTCTTGGTCTAATGGGTAGTTTCATTTTAGCCATTAATGACTTATGAAAATCCTCCATACAAGTTTCATCATTTTTTGGCTTAATGAACTGTTCCATTTTAGTCATTAATGGCTTATGAAAAGCTTTCATAGACATGTTATTTTTATGGTTTGACTCTCTAAGAATAGGTTTTTCAACCCCCAAGCTTTATATGGAACATTATTTTTAACCATGTTTGGTTTAACAACATGTTTTTTAGCCATGTTATTTTCATAAATTAGCTCTTTAAAAATGAATTTTTTGACCCTCCTGAGCCATTGATGAAATTAATTCTTTTCTTTTGCCATTTTCAACATTGATAGAATTTTAAAAAAATTTACCAATTCCGACCATTAAAGCCTCGGTTAAAAACTTGGTAATGAGAGTTGACAACTTATCATTTCATTGGCGAACTTCCATATTAAGTTCATGAATTTTCCCAATTAAATCGTGTCTTTTTTCTTCCACTAAATTATATTGTAATGGATCTCTTCCATATTGGTAGTGAAAGTTTGTTTCATAAAAAAAATGGATCTCTTCTTGAAGATTCAAAATTTTTGTTTATGCCAAAAGATTTCATCTAGGCTATTTGGAATAGACGAATCTAATTCATTTTTCATTTCTTACACTTGACGTCCTACTGGGTGTGCCAAAAATTGTTGCCTTACGTTTTCTACGAAAGAAAATATTATAAATGTGAGCATGCCAGCAATGATTGAAAAATTCTAACAGATTAAATTCAAGCCAATTATCAAGCGATTGTGTTGACGGTTCTTTTGTCTTAATGAAGAGGACTTCAAAATTGCCAAGTGTAGAGAAAAGAAAATTAAAAGTAGAAGTAGGGAGACGAAGAAAGATAATTGAGTGAACAATCAACCTAACAATTAATTTACATCTACTGCTATGTTTCGAAAAGGAAGTGCATAAAATAAAATGCAAGAAATATAAATGACAAGAAAAATAGAAATCGATTGTCTTTGATTTGAGTTTTGGATCATTTACAATGTAGCCATGAATAGCTATTTATAGGCAAACATTTGTAAGAAAAAACTTCCTACTACCCTATTCTCCTATCTTCATCCCCGTCTTGCCATGTGTTTCTCTAACTTCTTCACTTTACTCTATGTTCTTTCACATTATGCTCCATGATTCTCCACATTCTCCATCATTCTTTCACGTGTGTTTAATGATTCATAATTTCTCATAACCTCTAAATGAGTAAGAGAGTGTCACGTGTCCTGCAATTTATCAATAACAATAATAATAATTATTATTATTATTACAAATTTATGGTACTAACATTATTTTATGTTTTTACACTATTTGTAGTAATTTTGATCAATTAATTTTATTAAAAAAGATATTAATATAATTATGTTAAATTGTAATTTTTTTATATTTTTTGTAAATCTAAAAAAATTAATATAATTTATCTTAAATATTTTTATAAATTTATGTACTGAATCTAATTTTATAACTCATTTTTGTGTTCATAGACTCATTAGCCCCGACACAAATCATGGGCAAAGGAAAATAATTGCAAGGGGGCATTTTGGGTAAAAACAGATTAACGGTCTGGCCTTCACCTTCCATAAACGACCCTTGACGGCAACCAAAAGTCACTTCAACATCAACATGGCCACAACCACCTCCCCCTTCCCTCCTCCTAAGGTCCCAACTCTCTCCCTACAAAATGATCTTTTTCCTCTCCTACCTCTCTCCACCACCACCGCCATATATCAACCGATCTGAAATAGTATCGAATACTATCAACTGATATATCAGTGAACAACAATACATACGATACTTGAGTCACTAGCAGTCTTTTTTTTCTACCTTTATTATCAACATGTCATCTTTTTCAATTAGGCTTATGTCCCCTTCATTGCCAAATTCAAACCGATTCAAAACAAAACTATCCGCTGCTCCACCACCTAACACGGTAGTTGTGAAGCCAACTCCGGTGGCAGGGGAGGGGGAGGTGGATGCGGGGAGGCTGGAGCCGAGAGTGGAGGAGAGAGAAGGGTATTGGGTACTAAAAGAGAAGTTCAGAGGAGGTATAAATCCTCAAGAAAAGGTTAAGATTGAGAAAGAGCCCATGAAGTTGTTCATGGAAGATGGTATTGAAGAACTTGCTAAGATTTCACTTGAAGAGATTGAGAAATCAAAGATCACAAAGGACGATATTGATGTTAGGCTCAAATGGCTTGGCTTGTTCCATAGGAGGAAGCATCAGTGTAAGCTCTAAAGCCAAACTTTTATTGATTAATATAATCTGATTATTATTATTATTATTTTTTTGGGTCTATGTTCATTGAATCAATTATTAACAATATGGGCTATTTAAAGGTGAAGTGTATTTTGTGTGACGATGTGAGCAAAATGAATAGAGAATCGAAACAATCATTGGTTTCTAGCTAATTTGGGTTTCCTACTTTGGTTTGATACCTTATCATAATTACAAAAGACCTGATGGGCTAGATCACAAAAAAGTGTTCCTTTCATATTACCTAATAAGGAAATTCCACTCACAGAAAAAATTTATAGCAAATAGAATCAACACTTGAAAGTTGTATTTATAAATGTTATGGTTAGTTCAGATTTTATTTAAGATTTTTTGAATTAATAAATTTTATTTTGTAAAATTGAAAATATTATTAGTTTTTCTCAATTTTTAAAGTTAAGAATATTATCAATTTTGTATAATAATATTCCAGCTAATTGTATTGTTTCACTAACTGATAAAAAAAACATAGTACGAGATTAAACATTTTTACCCTTCTACGTATTGAACTGATTCAACTATTCAATAAAACCCAAGAACCTTATTAGTTTTTTTTTTTAATTTTAAAACCGAGAACATTATCAATTTTTTCATTTTAATTTTTTTTTTTTGCACATCAATGTTCCATCATCATGCTCCTTTATATACACAAAATTTTCAGTTTTGCCCAAAAAATAATTCAATTTTTTCAAAAAAAAATATTAGTTTAATTTTTGCACATAATTTTTTTTTTTAGTTTTTTCAATTTGAAAGTTGATGTTTTAAAGTTTTGAAAATCAAAATAAATATCAAATTATCATGTTCCGTTATAGATAATCATAAATGATAAACAATCATTGTTTGAAGGGCAATTTGACTATTAAAAATTTAATGAGACTTGAAAGTCCAAAAATTTTTAATTAGGATTTAATAAAATATAAGTTCATAAAGTAAAACTTGTGTATTAATGTCTCTAGAAAATATGCAATAATATTATTTTCTTAAATAAAAATCATCTTGGATGTTTCATTAAAATATTATATTTATTGAGACATATAATTATATACAAAAATTATATAATAATTTTTTTATTTATATATTATTATTCTATTGAATAATGGGATGTTTAAAATATATAGTATTTATAGAGTGCATTGGCTAAGTGAATTTGATCCTTTGTTAGTCTTAATGTATGTTTTTTCGTTTCATTTTTTAACGGCTTAAAGTTTTGGAACAAAAACATGATAACAATTTAAATTTTTTAAACAATTAGGTTGTGTTTGGTTGGGAGATTTAGAAAGATATTTGAAAAAGAAAAAATGAAAAGGTAGGTAAAATGTGAATAAAATATACTTACATTTTACTTAATTTCACACATTTTTTTTCTTTTTCTTTTCCTTTTCCAATCCTTCCAAAATCTCTCAACCAAACAAAATATTACAATTCTACCGTGATATGATATCAGAATTATCTTCTCATTCTACACTATGTTCTATTTATATTCTTATTGAAGCCTGTTTTCTCAGACAAGTTCAAAAACATTCTTGAGACAACTTTGTCTAAAAATGAAAATCTTAGTCAATTAAGCCAATCCAGTCTAGATAGTGGATGGATTAAGATTCAGAATTTCAGATTTCTGTTATTTTCCTACACTTTCTTGGTAACCAAACGAAGCTTCTTTCTGGACGCCAAGACACAAAAAGAAAATCAATGAACATTGACAAACTCATTCCAATCCAATGCACCTTATGAAATTTCAGCACAAATTTTTACACTTTTAGCTTCTTTCTGATCAGATGGTAGATTCATGATGAGACTGAAGCTTCCAAATGGCGTAACAACAAGTGCACAGACTCGATTCCTAGCCAGTGTTATACGACAGTACGGAAAGGAAGGGTGCGCGGACGTGACAACGAGGCAGAACTGGCAAATACGTGGCGTGGTACTGCCCGATGTGCCAGAAATAATGAAAGGCCTTACAGAAGTTGGTTTGACAAGCTTGCAGAGTGGAATGGACAATGTTAGGAATCCTGTTGGAAATCCTCTTGCAGGGATTGACCCGTTTGAGATTGTCGATACAAGGCCTTACACGAACCTGTTGTCTCAGTTCATCACCGCTAATTCCCAAGGCAACCCGGTTTTAACTAACTTGTAAGTCCTCTGAACTGTGTCTGCAATGTTGTAAATAAGCCTGCCAACAGATCGGATTTGAACCGAACCTAATCTGAAAAATTGGATCGGGTTATAATTATGATTTTATTCTGTTGACCCTTCTTTATACTTCTTACAAAGTGATCTGCTTATATAAATCTGTTAGGTTAGGAAGAGTAAGATTGGTGCTTATACAAATATAAAAGTACAAATTTAATCCATGTTGATTGAATTGGGATTTTTTTTAAATAGGGTTTGAGTCGGATTTTGAGTTGAGTATCTAGAGTTTTGATTTCTCGTTCAGTTTGAACTCTTGGATTGTGCCATGTGGACACTTTTTGTCAACTATAGGCTTAGATTTTTTTCTACTGACAAATCCGACTCAATATTAAATGGGTTAATGGGTAAACAAAATCTGAATCGTTAATTTTGAAAAAGTGTAAACATGGCACAATCTGACCGGAGGCCTACATGGAATCGAGTGTACCTTCTCCTGAATTTGATTGGTTCATAAGATTGCTTTTGTTGTTGTTTTCATCTGAGCAGGCCAAGGAAGTGGAATGTGTGTGTTGTGGGTTCTCATGATCTGTTCGAGCATCCCCACATCAATGATCTAGCTTACATGCCTGCAACGAAGGATGGACGGTTCGGATTCAATCTGCTAGTGGGTGGATTTTTTAGCCCTAAGCGATGTGCAGAGGCAGTGCCTCTTGATGCCTGGGTTCCAGCAGATGATGTGATCCCAGTTTGCAAAGCAGTGCTGGAAGCCTACAGAGATCTTGGCACCAGAGGACACAGGCAGAAGACAAGAATGATGTGGTTAATTGATGAACTTGTGAGTGATCCTCCTTTTTTTTGGTAACCACAGTTTTAAATAGCAGTATCGGAATATGAGTAAGTATCAATTTGTAACAATACTAGGGAATCGAGGCATACGTATCAAAAATCCGGTTGTTAATTTTTTAAAATCATCCGTCACAAAAAAAATAATAAAAAGAACCCTTTCAAAATCTATATAATTTTGTTTTCACCATCCTTTAACATCATTGGTACCTCAAAATCTATATAATTTCACTTTAGCCCCTCCAAAATCTAAATAATTTTACATTCAGCACAATTTCGGGGTTCGGCAATGCATATCATGAATTGGCATATGCAAGCGATTTTCATTCCCATTGATAGAGAGTATCGATATGAGGAGGCCAAAAAAATTAATACCCATTGGCTGATTTTTAAAACCATGCTTCTTACACAAACCAAGTCATTTGTGCAGCCCATCAAGACAACCCAAAACAATACACTTATGTCCATTTTCATTGTGGAAATGCAGGGGATTGAAGGATTCAGAGCAGAGGTAGTGAAGAGAATGCCTCAACAAGACCTAGAGAGATCATCTTCTGAAGATTTGGTTCACAACCAATGGGAGAGAAGAGACTATCTTGGTGTCCATCCACAGAAACAACAAGACCACAGCTTTGTAGGCCTTCACATTCCGGTAGGGCGCGTTCAAGCAGACGATATGGACGATCTAGCCCGCTTAGCCGAGGAGTACGGCTCAGGTGAACTCCGGCTCACCGTTGAGCAAAACATCATAATCCCCAATATTCACAACTCAAACCTCGAAGCCTTTCTCAATGAGCCTCTTTTAAAGGACAAGTTTTCGCCCGAGCCACCCCTGCTAATGAAGGGATTGGTAGCCTGCACGGGAAATCAATTTTGTGGGCAGGCGATAATTGAGACGAAGGCTCGGGCAATGAAGGTGACAGCGGAGGTGGAGAGGCGGGTATCGGTCGTGGGACCGGTGCGGATGCATTGGACAGGCTGCCCAAATAGTTGTGGACAGGTTCAAGTGGCTGATATTGGGTTCATGGGGTGTATGACTAGGGACACAAATGGGAAGGTTGTTGAAGGAGTAGATGTTTATTTAGGAGGGAGGATTGGGAGTGACTCCCATTTGGGAGAGGTTTACAAGAAGGGTGTCCCTTGTGAGGACTTGGTACCTTTGGTTGTGGACATTTTGGTTAATCACTTTGGAGGTGTCCTCAAGGAGAGGGAAGATTAGATCAAAATTTTCCTTTTTTTTGAATCTACATTACATATATAGAATTGAACCACACTAACAAAAATGCTATAGACCCAAAAAAACAAAAAATTCATTGGAACTTGCTAGATGTTCTACTTGCATAGAATTTTTTTTGATTAACTTGTATAAAAGAGAAATATGTGAGCTCCACCTCCTTGCCTCTCTTCTGTGTAAGTTTCTGTGAAAAAATTCTCTGTAAATAGACTTTTTGAAAACCTACATTATTGTGAGTCCGACATGCAACTTTGTGAGTGTTCTGTAAATTTATGTAAAATTTTCTGCGCGTCTAGGACTAGTATTAAGAATATATATGCCAATATGATGGGACTCACCAATGGTGTTTTCATTTGGGGGTCACATTATTTTCACCAGAAATAAACTCCTATTGTACTGATATGTACATTTCTTCATATTTTTTGTAATTTTATTGTGTATGTTTTTTTTTCTCCCTTTTTGTAAACAAAGGGCAGGTTTGTTTTGAGGGATAAGAGGGTGGGATTGGACTATTAGTCTTACCGGATTAATAGTCTATTGTTTGTTTGAAAAATTTTGCTCCGGACTAATAATTTCTCCGGACTACTAGTCTCACAAACATGGGACTATCCTATTCCATGGGGGGTTGTGGGATAGAAACCATGGGATTGGTATCCCATGGGATTATTTTGTGAAATGTCTATTTTACCCTCCATGCTATTACTTAGTGAACAATTAGAAAAGGGTAACATAGTCTTTTGAACATTTATAAATTATTTTTTTAGTGTTGTTAATTTAAAACTACATATTAAATAAAAAATTTAAATTATAAATTATAAATTATAAATTTAATTTAGGGGGATGCACCAATAAATCCCAAATTAATAACTTATACACTGTTTAATCCTAAAAGTTTTCTTATAGACTGAAAGGTCCCATTACAATGTTAATAACATCAGATACAATGTTAATAACATCATAGTCATGTTACAAACATTGGATTTCAAACATCTAATATATTAAATAAAATTATTTTTTATTGTCGTTATTTAAAATTATATATTAAATAAAAATATAAAATATAAAATATAAATTTAATTTAATTGAAAATAATAAATTAAAAATTATGGCCTTATAAATTAAATTTTTTTAGTGTTATTAAATTATAAATTATAGATTATAAGGGTAAAATAGTCTTTTGAACATTTATCCTTATCCAATCCGTCTAACCAAACATTGGATTTACTAAAAATAGTCCAATCCAGACATCTAATCCCATGACTAAACAAACATAGGATACAAATCAAATTCAACCAAATAGTCCCGGGACAATGTATCCCGGGACTAACAGTCTGATGGATTACAATCCCCCATTATCTAGTCCGTCCAAACAAACACACCCAAAGTGATTTCATTGATAGGTAAAAGACACAACATGGGAAGATCCTGTTTAGCTTGTGTATCAAAATAAGGAGTTTCTTATTAGTGAATTGTATTGCTTGTCTATTGTTATATTTTCTGGAGATCTTTATAATTTGAGATAATTTGGTATTTTTTAAACCAAATGGTGATGAAATTGAGCTAATGGACCCATCCATTTTCAAGTTTTGCCTAGATCATGAATTTGTAAAGAGAAAGGAAGAGAAAGAGAAAAAGAAAAAGAAAAAAAAAAAACGTATACTGCATTTCTTTGCCTTTATCTTTATCTTTTTCATTTTCATTTTTTTTTTGATTTTATAAATTCAAATTTCAAACATGAGGGAGATTTGCACCAGTCAAATGGGCCGCTTTACGGCAGCACGAGATATGGCGGTGGGCCTTACAAGGGCCAAAAAACTATATGCCTAACTGGACTGAACCAGCACAGCTCCCTGACTTATTACGTTGGGCCGGGCAAACTGACCAGAATATGGAGGCTTGCAGATGCTCAACCAAGCTATTCATCGACGAAATTCAATGTTCGGTGAGACCCGCACTAGCGTGTTGGGCCAAGCTACGGACAATCCGGGCTGACGTATGGCCGAGCTATGGTCAATCCGGGATGACACAGGGCTGAGACGTCTTACGAGGTAGCCGGGCGAGGCCAAGATGTTGAGCCGTAGGCCTTACTGTGACAATTCTCACTCCTGTTTACTAATAACACTACTAATTAGTGCTAATCTATGATTAGGTATGTTAATTGACTGACTGACTGACTGAATTATTAAACTGATTAATTGATTGTGTTAGTTTGAATGCAATTCTATCTGTTGACTGTTAAATTACTTGTTCATGTTCTATGCTTTAAACTGCAAATTGAAGGCCTTATCGGCGGCCGAATCTGAAATTGATTAATGTTTTACGCTAATTGGGATTTATGTGATTTTATGGCATATTTAATTGAAATGTGATTTGGTATGATTAAATTAGATTTAATAAAGCTAAATTACAAGAGTTAAAAAAAAAAAACGTATACTGCATTTCTTTGCCTTTATCTTTATCTTTTTCATTTTCATTTTTTTTTTGATTTTATAAATTCAAATTTCAAACATGAGGGAGATTTGCACCAGTCAAATGGGCCGCTTTACGGCAGCACGAGATATGGCGTTGGGCCTTGCAAGGGCCAAAAAACTATATGCCTAACTGGACTGAACCAGCACAGCTCCCCGACTTATTACGTTGGGCCGGGCAAACTGACCAGAATATGGAGGCTTGCAGATGCTCAACCAAGCTATTCATCGACGAAATTCGATGTTCGGTGAGACCCGCACTAGCGTGTTGGGCCAAGCTACGGACAATCCGGGCTGACGTATGGCCGAGCTATGGTCAATCCGGGATGACACAGGGCTGAGACGTCTTACGAGGTAGCCGGGCGAGGCCAAGATGTTGAGCCGTAGGCCTTACTGTGACAACCCTCACTCCTGTTTACTAATAACACTACTAATTAGTGCTAATCTATGATTAGGTATGTTAATTGACTGACTGACTGACTGAATTATTAAACTGATTAATTGATTGTGTTAGTTTGAATGCAATTCTATCTGTTGACTGTTAAATTACTTGTTCATGTTCTATGCTTTAAACTGCAAATTGAAGGCCTTATCGGCGGCCGAATCTGAAATTGATTAATGTTTTACGCTAATTGGGATTTATGTGATTTTATGGCATATTTAATTGAAATGTGATTTGGTATGATTAAATTAGATTTAATAAAGTTAAATTACAAGAGTTTGACTTATCTACAAATTTGCCAACTAGTGGAGTAATCTAGGCTAACCTCTTTTCACCTTATACACTTTTGATACAACTTTTCCCTCAGCCTTTTAGAGAGCAAAACCGTTTGAGAGAGAGAGGAGTAGAGAAATTGAGTTCAAGTTGGAGATTTGCTTGGAGACTTGAAGAAATTGTAGAGAATTTGTATAATTGAGCTCCCTTATCTTGCATTCAAGACCTAAGGTAGGACATTTACCTTCTTGTTTGTGAATTCAAGTTAATTGTTGCATGGTTCATGGTAAATAGGAGCTTAAGATCATAAATTGGTTGTAGATTGTTGAATTGGAGCTTAATTCATGCATGAATGTGCATGGTCTTGCATTTTGAGGTTGTTCTTCATGAAATCCCACATGCATGTTTATATCTTGAGCTTAGTCCATGAATTCATCTTGTTTTTGATAGAATTGGCTCATTTTTTCTTGAATTAGAAGTTTTGAAGTTGATCAAAATCATGCATGTTACATTTGAAGTATGTTCTTGAAGTTTGGTTTGAAATTGTGTTTAATTGAACTACCTTTGGGTTTTGATTTCTTAAATTGAGCTTTGAATCATGTTATATTATGAGTTTTAAAGTGTTTTTTAGAAAATTAGCCCAAAAGGATCAAATTTGGTATATTGAAACTTGATTTTGAGCTTGAGGTTCAAATCTGAAAATTTCAGATTTTGGACTCCCGCTCGAGCGGGAAATTCATGTATCTAGTACTTTTGTTATGTTTACAGTCTGCTCGAACGGGGTTTTGCACGCTCGAGCGAGGACTTGTGTCACACGCTCGAGCGGGTATCGAGCGGCCATCGAGCGTGATTTTCACACATCCAGTACTTTTTCAGTTCGCTCGAGCGGGAAAGTTTACGCTCGAGCGGATACTTTTGTTTGCATGTCCGCTCGAGCAGGACCTCTGTTTTCTGAAAATTTTGAAAATATTTTTAAAGTGCATCTTTGCATCCTCATTCCATTCTAGGCATTCTTAGGCCTAGTTTAAGGCATCTTAATGAGGATATTGATGTAGAACCACATCGAGTCAAGATAGGGATTAAGTTATTATTTTCCCAACTGTGTAGCTTAGTGTGTGTTCACTCTGTAACTGTGTAGGATTGGCATCCGGAGACGCTCTAGCTTATCTGTAGCCTAGAACTCTGTGAGTAACAATGTTGTAAAAATATGTTTAATAATGATTATCTTCTGAACAATTGAACTGTACTGTTTTCTGAAATGATACTGTTACTGAATGAATGATATCCTATTTGTGAACTGTATTCGTGGCATTCATAGCAACCTACTGTTACTGTACTATACTGCTACTGTCACAGAGATCTCTGTCGGTTCCCATGTTGGAACCACTACTGCTTACTGATACGATGGCCATCATTGACTGTTCAGTCTGTTAAGACCTACTGTACTGTTTTGCTATTTGATGTACCACTTATGACTATTATAGTTTCTGAATTACTGTATGGCATGAATTATGAGCCACAAACTGAATGACTGATATACTGATAAATGACTGTTTTCAATACTGAAAGGACATTCATTCTTAACCTCTTTACGCATATGTTATTCACTAGGCTTTAGCTCACTGCTCATATATATATGTAGGTGTACAGGCACCGGACCATTGTTAGAAGCATCAGGCTAAACTCCAGTTTTGTCAAGCCAACCAACGTGCCTCACTGAGAGGTTCCAAGTCCTTCAAGCTAGGGCTTTTGGGGTGTTTCAGTTTTTTTCCTTTTTGTTTATGTTCTGTATAGACTGAATGATGTTGTACTGTACTGTTCTAATAGGGATTAAGTCTCTGTCCTGAATGATTGTATATATTGTACATACTGTTTTGGTACTGATTGTATATATATATGAAAAGTCTTTTTGCATAAAGACTGTCACAGCTCATTGGACATCTTTTAATTACTGTTTTGGCTTCCACGAGCCCCTGTACTCTGTATTATTGTCCTACTGTTAAGCAGGCCTTCGGTAAGCTCGGATTACTGGCCGGTTACGGTGCTAAACCCATAGGAGCGGGTTTGAGTCGTGACAGAGTGGTATCAGAGCGATACTTAACCACGAGTTATATTGCACATACGTGTCCAAATGAGCTATAGGATGTCCTAGAAAAGTAAATAGGGCATTGCATGAGCATGAAAAGTGTGTGTGGCCATGACATGAATATCTGTGCTAATGTGTTAATGTGTT